ATATGAGCTATTCTCTTGCTCGATTTGCACAGTTGTATATAAAGGAGATTGTTAGATTGCATGGTGCACCTGTGTCAATAGTGCCAGATCGGGACCCTCATTTTGTGTTTAAGTTTTGGCATGCGTTACAGTCAGCTATGGGTACTCGGTTAAATTTTAGTTCAACTTACCACCCTCAGACAAATGGGGAATTGGAGAGGACCATTCAGACCCTTGAGGATATGTTAAGGGCTTGTACTTTGGAGTGGAAGGGTAATTGGGATGATTATTTGTTGCTCATGGAGTTTACGTATAATATTAATTATCATTCTAGTTTGGGAGTAGCTCCTTATGAGGCTTTGTATGGAAGGAAGTGTTGATTTCCTTTGTGTTGGTATAAGGTTGGTAAAAGGCAACTGTTAGGACCCGACTTGGTGGAGGATATTACACGGGAAATTTTCACCATTAGAGAGAGATTATTGACTGCTTAGAGTAGACAAAAAAAGTTATGCTGATCATCGTAGGAGAGATTTAGAGTTTCATGTGGGGGATATGGTATTCTTGAAAGTAACACCTTAAAAAGGAGTCATCAAGTTTGGAAAGAAAGGGAAGTTGAGTCTTAGATACATTGGACAATTTGAGGTATTGGAGAAGGTTGGTGAGGTTGCGTACCGTGTTGCTTTACCTCCTAGGTTGGTAGGAGTGTATAATGTGTTTCACGTGTCTATGCTAAGGACATATGTGCACAGTCCATTGCATATGATAGATTATGAGCCACTTTAGATTAGAGAGGATTTTTCGTAGGAAGAGATATCTGTTCAGATCTTGGATTCAAAAGAGAAAATGTTACGTACAAAGGCCATTAAATTGGATAAGGTACTGTGGCGTAATCATCTAGTTGAACAAGCGACTTGGGAACACAAGGACGAGATGCGCGAGAAGTACCCACATCTATTCTCATGATTTAATCAGGTTAGTTTAGAGGACGAAACTTTTCTTTTAGGGGGAAGAATGTGAGAACCCGATTATAAAAATAAAATAAATAATTAAAAAATAAGGCCTTGTTTGGTAACCATTCCATTTACAGTTTACAGTTTACAGTTTACAGTTTATAGTTTATATTTACTTGTTTGGTAAATTTGTAGTTTATAAACTGTAGGTCTTAATATTTAAATTGGGTTGGAAATCATAAACTGAAAAAATCTGTTTATGTTTCCTGTTTACGTTTATTTAAAAATTTGAAAACCATAAATTTCTATATTTACATTTGTTTAAATTGGTGGTTTTGTTTTGGAGGCTATTATTTTGTTGAGGATGAGTATGCAACATGAGCCGCCGGAGCTCAACAGTGGTGGAGGTGAAGCTCGACAGTGGAGATCGTGAGATCGACGATGCGTAGTGGCGGATGATTGCCTCCATACTTCCCCTGCAGTGTTTAGTGTTATTCTTATACTGTCGCTACACCTCCAAACTCGCGATGAGGGAGACGAAGAAGGAGGAGCTACCCAGGCAAGCCAAACACTGAATGGTGGAGAAAAAGATGCTGGCAACAAAGATAATAAGCGTGGTGACGAAGAACTGAATAATAACAGCGAGGAATGGTTGATCTGCGGCGGCAGAATGTTTTTTGATTGGGAAGGGCAAATTTTGATTGGTTTTTTGATCCTATTGTCATAAATAATAAAAAAAATAAATATAAATATTTTAGGCCTTAACGAACATGTTTTTTAGTTTATTTTTAAAAAAAAATAAACAAAAATCAGTTTATAAAATTTTTGTAAACATAAACAAAAAGCGTAAACGTTACCAAATGCTACTTAATAATTTTACAATCTCAAATATTTTTCTTGTAAATGTTAAAGTGCATATTAAATATTATTGGAGGGTCTTTTAATTAATTTTAAATCTAAAATAAATTTATGGTGGAAATTTCTAATTTAGACGTAAGATTTACTATTAAAATAAATAATAGTAATAATGTTAGATAATAATAATAAGTGGATTGCTGGTTATGTATACAAAGATAATAAAAACCCTAACTCTTATTATAATTGTTCTCCACAGCACTAGCAGCCCTGGGTTTATGAAGGAAAGAGAGGAGTGATTCAATTATTATGATTATTGTTGTAGCCAAGAAGGAATTGGGTGTGTTGTGCTGTGTGTGAGCATCAAATGATAGCCCTCCTAAGTTTTCTTCTCTTTCTATTTGTTCTTTGTCCTTATTTTATTAATATTTAATTCATTGATGGAGAGGTTATATATGCATGTAGAGGAGATAAATTGTGTGTAAAGAATGAGTGTAATTCTTAGTCCAAAAATTTTGTACAAAACCATAAACTATAAAAATCAAGAAATCATATCAAACGGATGAATTTTGAACTGAAATTTTTACAGTAGCTTAATAAAATATTGAATTTCATGCCAGAATTATTTTATAATTTTTGGGGGTCAAAATCCATATAAATTGATGCGTTCAAATCTGTGCAAAAAACTAGTACAAAACACTAACTTCGGAAGTGTCGTTCTCTTTGGGTATAAATCAAAAAATTATCAAATCAGTATCATTAGAACTAGTTATGAGTCTAGTTTCTTACATTTTTGCCTTGCGTTGATTACTTGTGTTTATTAAGAGAACCGTCAATTTCTTCAAAGTGCTGCAGAAAGAGACCTATTTAGACATAATTAATTGTAAATAATTATTTTGACAAGCAAATCAAATAAAACCAATTGGGTTTGAAACATAGGATATATTAGTTGATATTTGGAGGGTTTTGTAATTTTTCTAATAGCGTGGAGTGGGTTTTTAATCTTCAAAGTTAGTGAATAGTTCGGGAAAATCAGTCAAAAATTCTATTTTATCTCAAATTCATATTTAATTAAGTTTCGACCGAAACCCATATCTTGGTTAATTTTGGAGCTTGAAGAACATGAAATTAGGTATTATTTGATACTAACGGTGAGTTGGGTTGAGCCGTGATAGTATGATTTAGTTTGGGGTTACTTAGTTTTTTATTTTTTTTTTAGTATTTTTGAGTTACTAGTGACATATAGTTTTCGTAATTGGCTCAGGACACTAGTTGGAATTTCCTATTCGGTTTGAGGATTATATTATACAGTGTTCAGGTGAGTAGTTGCATGTTATATATTTTTATAAATCTTCCCTTACCCTGAATTGTTGTTAAATTAAATTGTTGTTTCAGGACTAAACTATTTTGACAAATTATTATAGTATCAATGGAATTAAATTATTTCTGAAATATGTGTAAACTTGGCATACTATAAACTATTTGTTATGATTTCATATTTATAATGGTGAACTACCATGTGTTTGCGAAATTGAATTGCATTAATTATTGGGACCATCTACATATAAAGTCTAGGAAAATTATTCCATTGTGTGTGGTTACTCTGGCCACTAAAGAACACATCTAGGTTAAGCTGTGATGACTCTAGTGCTCAACGATTGTAAAGAAAAGACTTAAGATAGGCTAGGTGACCTTCAATCGGATTGTTTTAGAGAAAAGACTCGAGTTGCGACCCTGAGGATGACTCTTGGTTCGATATAGGATCTAACGGGCTTATTGCCTTGAGAACTTTGTGGCGTGTTACTTGTTATTCTTGGTACCTAGAAAATTATCAATGATCATGTTGTAATCTTTTTAAAGTGGAGAATGTCGTTTGTTACTGTTGAATAGTAGAACCTTCTTTTTGAAATAGATTGTCGCTATCAAAACTGTATGCCAATCTAGTTTTTGTGATATGTATCTTATTTTGGAATTGAACCGTATTTTCAAAATTATATTTACTATCCATGCTTCTACTCACTGAGCTATCAGCTGACTTAGTTGTTTATCATTTCCAGGCGATAGAAGGATTTAGAGTGGACTCATGGCATAGCAGAGACTTAATTGCATGGATCTCTAGGACATTAATTTTTTTTTTTTTTTCAAATTGTTATGTCAAGTTTGTGTATATATATGTTTTTTTAATTTTTTTCATTGAGGTTCATTTAGGATTATTTTGTTATGTGGGTTGTTTATATCCCGTTGGTTTGGATGGTATTGATTACGGTTGGTTTTGCTGTTTATACTTGTGACTTGTAACTAGATTGAATTTTGATTTATTTATTTCTGGACTATCGTTACATTTATTCTTTGTGATTTTGGGTTCGTGTTTAGGCTTACGTGTGGCTTGGGCTAAGTCCCTGTGGGCCACGACCAATCATGCCTGGATTTGGGGGTGTGACAATAATTTACCCATAAAAATGAATAATTAAAATCAAACAATACATAACTAATTGGAATTCTAACAATCATCACACGAACAAGCCTATAATGAAAAAAAATAAAGAATAAATTATATCAGTGATTCCTTTAGTTTTAGCGAAATTTTACTTTGGTTATCGTAGTTTTAATTTAAACAATTTGGTCCTTTAACTTTCAATTTTGTTGCAATTTAATCCCTCTGTAACTTATTGTTTGAGTTTATAGTTTTTTTTAAATTCTACTTTAGTCTCTCTGATTTTGCAATTGATGTTGTTCTATTTAAAATTGAATTTCACTTTGGTCTCTCTAATTTTGCAAACGATTTTTTTCCATTTCAAATTCTAACGATATAAAAGTGATAGAGGGATCACATTGCAATCAAATTGAAAAGGTCAAATTGTTCAAATTAAAACTATGAGAACTAAAGTGACACTTTTCTTAAACTATAGAGACTAATGATGTAATTTATTTAAAAATAAACAACTCAATAGAACAAAGGTAATCACTGCATAGTGAACACCCATGTCATGTCAAGGCTATATTTAGATTTTGAATTTAAATAGAGATTCATGGAAGAAAAGGAAAAAAAGAAGAAAAAATTGGCAAAGATGGAATAAACTTTTTTATCACTTTTCCTTTCTCTTTTTACTTTTCTTTCCATAAATCTCCACAAAACAAAAAAATTTAAACACAGCTTAAAGGTTGAGTGTAATGTGATAATGATTCATCTATTGTGTGCTTACTCATACAAATAGATTGAAACATACACACGTATAATCACCACTTCAAATTCTTGATCTTTATTATTCACCGTGACCCTAGAAACAGAAATTTTCAATACATTACAAAGAAGTGAAAACAAACATCAAACTGTGAAATTCTAAAGCACCAATATTCACTGTTGAAGGAATGGATTTTCTTGACAATAAAATGATGATGATCACACTTGACGGTTCATGCTCCTCTTCCATATCCAATTTGAAAAATCTCAGTAATGATCATCAAGTATGATGAACTCTCTTTCTTCATCAAGATCAAGAGGTAATTCGCCGCCTTGACCTTTTAGAACTGTTGTTTACTACCAATAAGCCACAACCAATCAAGAGCAACCCCTGAAAATATGCCGGCTAGAAGAAATAACACTAGCAAATTACCCAATGCATTTTGTTCAGGACCCTGCAAAGATCGAGATCTCAATGATAAATTGTTAGGTGAAATATTTGAATGCAATGACAAAAATGATACAATTGATGTTCTTTAGATTGAAAATAATAATAATAATAATAATAATAATAATAATAATAATAATAATAATAATAATAGTAATAACAAAAATGATCTCCTATGCGAATAACAAGCAAGACATGACTCAGACTTCCTTTGGCATGAGTTAGTTCTAATCATTAGCTTTTTTTAGTCTAATAAGTTATCAAAGTATATTATTGTCCTTCAACATGTATTAGATACTTATTAAAATGGTCCCTATAACTGACTTCCCATTAGAAGCAAAGAAACCCAAAAAACTTTTCCTTTGCATCACGATGTAGTACTATGAAGGGTAAATTAGTCCTTCCATATTAAAACTAAAAAGCTAATAAGTTTATCAAACATGTTTACGCAAGGAAGTCATTACAAAAGTAAAAAAAAAATCATACAAATAATGACTGTTTTTTTGACATTTTTTTCTTGCCCTTAATGAGCCAACTTCCAAAGGGAAACTGTGTTCGAGAGTTATTGGTTTATGTGGTGTAAGCGCCACCATCACCACCTTAACCAATGACTATCGAACACATGAGTCACGTTTGGCTTATAATTCGGATTGTAAAGCACTCATTGGTGAACACAAGGTTGATGTTATAAACTAACCTTATAACTTTTTGGAGCTTCTGTGAGGACACAAACAGTGAGATAACCATTTGTTAGTCCCAAGAAAGATGTGAGCATTATCATCCATCCTTGATCACCATACTTTGCAGTGAAGTAGAATGCAGGGATGAGCAAGAAACGAGACAATATAGCAATCATAAGGCCCTTTCGAGATTTTATCTTAAGGCATTTTACGAGAGGAATGTATCTTGATATCAGATCGAACAAGTTGTACATTGCTATCAGCACAAGTGGATACCTGAAAAGTTTACCAGGCATTGTGAACTGATTTATGATTATTTAGACTAGTGCAAATAATCCATGTTAACGGGTTATTGCTGAAGCTATGTTGATCTCTAAAGTGTGCCAATTATGTATGTATTTTTTATTTTCTATGTTGATCACAAAATACTAGAAACATTTGGCATTTGCTAAAGTTCACAGTTTACTATTTTTTAGTTGATAGAAATTATTAAACATGTTTATTTTTATTTTTAGTAAAAAAAAAAAAAAAAAATCATATTTCGTGCACTTGTTTTCAAAAACTTGTTTTGAAAACAAGTGAGTGGAGGTGGCAGTGGCTTTTTACAACGGGGATGGTAGTCAGAGGTGGTTGCTAGCAACAGTGGTCAGAGGGAGTCGCTTCGCTGGAGGTGGTTGTCAACTGCTAGATGTGAGGGACTCATTGGATGTGGTTTCTAACTGCTAGTGGTGGTCGAAGTGGTTGCTAGCAGTAGTGGCTAGAGGGGACGACGGCCGGACTTTGGTGATAGGATGTTGGAGGAGAGGATGGAGAGGGAGATTACTTTTCTGTTCACTAAAATTAAGTACATTTTGGTAGCTGTGTACATATTTTGAAAATAAAAGTAGATAGAATTATTTAAAATTTTCTAAATTTTTGTAAACATAAAAAGAAATAGATAAAATTAAACTTTACTAAACTGGGTAGGATCATTTGAGAACATGAAGTCAAATGTTATAAATGAATTAGGGACGAAGTCTGACAAAAGATTATTGCATAAATAGTATTAACAAAAAACCCATTTTCCTTTGAATTCCTTTGAATTCTGAAAAGCACATATCAAAATGTAATCAAGCTAAACATACCCATGTTGAATCCTTGTACAATAGAATGTGATATCATTCAAAATCATGAAAAAATGACACCTTAATTAATTATGAATTCTGGTTGGTATGTCGTGAATTAGCGCTTACCATGAGCCTAACTTGTGGTGTGATCCAGTGTTCTCGTATAAGAACCCGGGAAAAATTGATAATGTCAGGACATATATCAAATACAAGCCCAATGCATAATCTATGTTCTGAGTGAACAATTGCTTGTTGCTTAACCTCTGTTGCTTATCATCGTCTTCAGCCTGCACAGATACCAAAAGCTATTTTGAAGTTTTGATTTTTTTCTTTTTACTATAGTTCTTTCAAAACTTATTTATCAGATGTAGATTGTTTTGAATTTATTTTTCAAACCAAAATTGTTTTTTGAAAGTTGTATTTTCAGAATTTTAGGTTTCAGGTTGAGTTTGAAGTCATGTTTTTTCATTCATTGTCGTTGGCATTTTGGATGGAAAAACAACATATGCAAAATTAGTGGGATTAAAGTGGAATTCAGAAGATACTCTATGGGTTACGCTGGTCTACGAAGCACAAATATTTCAAAAAGGGAGACATTCGTATCGTTTCCGTATCGGATACCGATACTTCTTGAATACTCGCACATATGTATTAGATACTTATTAAAATGGTCCCTATAATTTACACAATGTGTCAATTTGATCCTTGTTATTTCAATTTGCTCGATTTTGCCCCTTAATGTAACAAATTGTGTCATTTTAGTCCAATAAATAACGGTTGTTAAGTTTGGTGGACAGAAAGTCTACACAATGTGTCAATTTGGTCCATGTTGTTTTAATTTGTTCGATTTTGACAAGGACTAAATCGACACATTATGTAAACTATATGGACCAAATTGACACATTATTTGACTTTCCGTCTACTAAACTTAACAACCGTTATTTATTGGACTAAATTGACATATCGTATAAACTACATGGACGATTTGTATAATTTACCCATTAATTTTTCATTAATTTTAGAGTATCAGATACGGGTACGGCTAGGATACGGTAACTGATTGAGGGACCACATTAAAATGCAATTGCATGTATAGAGTTTAAATTGATGAAATTAAAATTATGGAGACCAAAGTAAAACTTCGCTTAAATCAAAGGATTCAACTGTCTAATTTTTCCCAGTTAATTGAAGTCATGTTTCCAAAACACAACTTCACAAAATAACATGGTTTGGGAATTAAGTTTTAAACTGTTTTGGGGTCAACTGTTTGGTAAAAAAACTCTTTGAAGTTTCATATCTGGGAACTTCTTTTAAGTCTATACATATGCTTTATGAATCTAAAGGAAGCTAGCATACTCCTTGGGTTACTTCTGTTTGGATGCCAGCAGCAGCAAGATCTGCTGAAACAGTTTTTGATCCTTCCGAGGCTGCCTTCAAGCGGTAGTATTTCACAATTGGTAGTTTTGGGAAGACGAATGCATACAGAAATATGCATAGAAACTCAAAGAATGTCGAGATTGCTAGAAACAGCACTGCAAAAATACATCAATACAACAACTAATTAATGACAATGGTTAGTATAATCTGAATGTTGGTTCATAGATCTTAGTTAGATGGAAGTTCAATTTTGGAAGGACTGAAACTTCTAAGGAAAAGGAATGGACAACAATGAGACTTTGCTTATTTGTTTTGGCTTACATTTGTCTGTACAGGAATTTTTTGAACTGAGTCAAGTTTTTTACTTTGTAGGTTCATTTGGACTAGAGGATCCTAAAAATTACAAAAAGAAAAAAGAAAAAAAAAGGATTTTCCAACAAAAATAAGCCAACATTTTTAGGTTTTTTTTGACAAAATTTGACTTATTTCCGTTTTTAATGGACTTTTTGTATTATCTAGTCTAGATGGACCTAAAAACTAAAAAAGATTAAGCAAATTTAAAAAGATTTCACTAATGACACATAATAAGTCAGCTTAACTATTCACATTTTTCTCTTTAATTCGAATTATTTACCATTATAGAATTTTCAATCATAGTAGACTAATAAATGATAGACTATCCCATGAACTAAACAGGAACTTTAGATTAAACAGCATTTAACATTATTTTCAATTCCAAAAAGTATTAGACCCAAAAACAAAAAATTAAAAAAAATTCCCAAAAAGTATGTTTATCCGTGAGAGAATCACATACTAGTTCCCTTGCGAAGGCCATTATTCAAATTTTCAAAGGCTGCTTTTGTGATTAGCCGCAAAGCAGAGGTGAGAGCCCCTGATGCAGCCAAACCAGCTAGGAAAGACTGCCAAAATTCATTACAAAGAATATATATATTCAGGAACCAATCAAATTCATTCAAATAGCAAGAAATGAAAGCAAAACTAGTCATAGAAATATTACTCTTTTAACTACAAAGGCTTACTTGGATGAACTCGGGGCACATAAAGGATAGGTCTCCAACCATTCCACCTTCAACATGGGCATCTGCAACTCCGAAAGCAGCAACAATGATGCATATGCCAATATAATTTCCGATTCCTCCCTTCCCTGATGTCGCTAAATCCAACTGTCAAAGTGAAACCAAAGTACATCCAGATTGGTTATTGTGGTGGATGATTTAACAATTAAGGAAACAGGACGGTGAAACACACAAAATGGAGTCATTGCAGTACTTACAACTAAGAGAGCGAAAGTACTAATGAAGAACAGGATGTATCCAGTCAAGTTGCGCCGCCTTGTGTCAATCTTTGACTCATTATATGCAAGTATTGCCATTGTTCCAAGTGCAAACGGTTGATAGACAAGGGTTAGTACCCTTGAAGGGTGATATTTCTTCAGAAGCAAAAAAAACAAAAAAACTACATCAAATGAATGGCTATTGAAATCCAAAACAAAAGGGTTCGTTTGTAAGATGTAATTTGTAAACATTCAAATTTTGATAGGATGAAGAAATGTGGAACAACATAAGGAATTTATCAATTGAGTTCACATGGTTAAGCTATTGATGGCAGTGTGACAAAATCATGCTAACAACACTGTCATTAAGATAAAAGAAAATATCAAAATATTTAGAACTTCAATGAATTTTTTTACCATTTCACAAATACTTTTACAGATTTCTATATACTTTTTACACATATATCAAGACTAATGACCACCACTTTGCAGGCCATGAGCATTTGCGTTTCCCAAAAAAGATATATGGGAATAGATATGTACAATTGTTACAGACTCCAATCAATCAACTTTATCTGCATACAGTTGGAGGAATCCAAACTTTACTAAGAATGAACCCACAATTCTTACTAGTAAGCATTTTCTTCTAAAAAGGGAGATGAGAAATTTAATCTTAAACGAAGTCAATTTAGAAAATCCTTTAAAACCTTGCTCCTAATCAGCTCAAATAGTAAATTAACATAGGATCTCAAGAAAGGATTTGAAGAAACAAAAAGATCAGACTAAGTAACTTTGTAATTAGCAATCATAAAAGTGATGTTTAATAATGGAAAAAGGGTGGAAATTTGGATATTAACAAGGGGCTACTTACCGGGAACAGGTTATAGTAGTAATCTCCTATTGTCAACATGCTGTTCCAAGAGACAAGAGATCCAAGTCCTAGAATCCAACATACTACCATTGCACCATACTTCCCCTGAAATATCATAAATACGAACAAAAATCAATGTTCTGAATTATAATAAATGTAACTCTTGGCAGTGTAAACCATTGAAATTAACAAAGTTCGATCCACAAACCTGAAGCCTAGTCGGAGATCCACTTGTTTCAGCAATAGTCATGACTTCTTCTTCAGAACAATAATAATAATCTTAATACTGAGAGGCAAATGACTTTATTGTAACATATGTTTTGAAATGTCATTTACTTGAAAAAAAAAGAAGAAAGACTATTGAGAAGAAGAAAGAAACATAAACCCAAATATCTGGCAGTGGTTACCTTCAAAATTGAAACTACTACACAGATGAATGCTGTACGAAATTCCCAACACATGAATGCTGTGTTTGGTTGGGGGATTTGAAGAGGAATTTGGAAAGGGAAAGGGAAAAGGTATGGGAAACTAGATGAAATATAGGCATGTTTTATTCACATTTCACCTACCTTTTCCATTTCTCTTTCCAAATCCCTCTCTAAACCCTCCAACCAAACACAATAGAAAAGTCCATTTATGCTGGAAAAAAAAGGGGCAATTTCAACCAAGTAGAATGTTGATTGAAAAGCAATGCAACAATCATCAACTAAAACTAATCTTTAAGAATGCCAGAAAAAGATAGATATCTCATTTATCAAAATTTGAGCATTTCAAGGAATAAAAACAAATAACTAAATATATGGTTGAAAAATATTACAAAAATGAAACTGATAGCAAGAGGGTAACAGGAAATAGACTCATACATACATTGTAATGCTTTTGCCATGAAACGATCAATAAAGAGCATAGACTTTAAAAAAAATTTAACACAAATAAAATAAAATACAAATAAGAACAATTTCTAGCAGCTACCAGGTAGAATGGTACTAAGAATCACAAACTGATAAAAATCTTAAAGAATGCCAGAAAATGTGGATAACCCATTTATCAAACTTTGAGCATCTCAAGAAATAGCTCAATCAATGGCTGAAAATATTGCAAAAATGAAGCAGCTGGCAAGTGGGTAAATAGAAATACATTCGTACATACATATTTATACACACACACACACACACATATATATATATATATATATTAATGTTTCATGTGATGCAATGAGCAATAAAGAATAGAGACCTTATCAAGAGCAGTCAACAGAGATGGGCTTAATTTTTGCAAGGGTGGGTGTGTGTGGAACTTCTTTTTTGATACCCAGAACACCCATAAGACAGGATCTTTTAGAATCCACCTTTATAAGCTAAATTGGAGGAAGCTAGCCGATCCACCTAAATCGACGGACTTTCACTTGAATAATAGTAAGAGATTTGAATCCTGCTCAGTAAGGAGATGAGCATACTCTTTACCAGGATAGCCCCATGGTATGTGCAGAACCGTTGACTCCCAAAGTTTTAGAAGAAAATGAATTAAAGATTCTTAGCCAAATAAATATAAATTGAATGTCTGTTTCAATGATTGTTAGCTTACAAAGATGAGAAGATATTGGGGAAGAACAAAAAGATCTTAAAAGGGGTTCCCACACAAGGAATCTCTATGTGAATGGAGTAATTTATTGACAATGATTGACTTTTGAGCTGGAAACTAATGTTGCCGAGACAGATTAAACTTAACAAAAATGATTCGTAGCTCGAAAGAAATGAGCTCGAATGGCCCGAAAATACCTCTCTATCAGTTTCCTCTTCTCTTCTCTCCTGTCTATCTCTGTCTATGTTTCCTCTCCTCTCCTCTTCTCCCTCATCTCCTCTGTTTCATTCAACTGTACTCATACATACATGAATAGAATGCAAAAAGTGAAATTGGGACAAGAAAGTAATGGAAATGAGAAGAAACTCAAGATCTGAAGAGAAATTGGGACCACAAAAGAACTTCCTCTCTCTTCTCTCTCTTTCTATTTCTCTTCCTCTCTCTTCTATGCTTTCTCTTCTCTCTTCTTTGCCTCTGTTTCAGAGATCCAATAGGGAAAAAAAAGTATAAAAAATAAAATAAAAAAATAATCTGTGGGTTTGGTATTTGATTTTGTTTTGATTTTAGATTTGATTTTCATTTTCATTTTCATTTTGTTAAACTGTGGGTTTGGTTTTGGATTTGGTTTTGATTTTAGATGTGATTTTAGATTTAGATTTGGATTTTGTTAAACTGCTGTTGAAGAAGAGAAGGGTTTTGTTAAACTTCTTTCTCTAATTTTTCAGTAGGGGAAACGAAGAAGAAAAAAACACAAAAAAACGTTTTGGCACCTCGAGTCATTCAAATCAAAAGCCATTCGAGCTACCTCGCGGAACTCTAAACTTAATCCAAGGCAAAGGCGGTATAGTCTCATAGCACATGTCATGTCACTTTATTTAAATGATTTTATATATCAATCATATAATTAAAAAAAAAATTATATGACGTGTTGGTTTATATTTGGTGGGTGATTGATAAACAAACGATGACTTAGGTCTTATTTGAGAATTATTCATTTTAATTTTTTCGAAAATAAATGTATGAAAAAAATAGATAAAATATGATGTGATAACTTTTTTTTTTTTTTTTTGAATGAGGAAATGCTCGAATGCTTACCAGGCATTAGTGCTTAAGCTATAACAGTTAGGAAGGGGGATTCCTAACCCAATATAGAGAGAGTGAGCCCTTAAGATTGCTAGAAGCTAAAAACTTATAGTAGTATTTTTTACTAAAAAACAAGGTCTTAATGCCTGTTTAGAAAGTCTTAATGCCTGTTTAGAAAGTTGACTTTTTTAGTGATTTTTTTTTTAATTTTAATTTTTGTTTATTTTTTTATAAAGTGAAAAAAATTAATGTGTTTGGAAAGATTTTTTTAGTGGGATAGATAGTTGTAATGAAAAAATTTATTAATTGATATTTATGATGCAATATTTTGCTAATCAGGTTAAATTTGTTGTTTTTTGACCTTTTTTTTTTAATAATTTTTTTTTTTTAATGAAAAATTTCTTGCCAAATGAAGCCTTCATGATTGTTGCAGTTTCTCGTTTGGTATGAGTCTCACGCAAATAATGTTACTGGTTACTTTACAGTTTATTTAATAATTTATTTAAAGACATTGGTTTGTCTAAAGATTTTATTGCCAGCATCATTTTTCACGTGCATAACAATTAAATTAATTTATGAAGATACTTTAAATATATATATATGATTTCGAAAAAATTAATGAATATTTACGGAACATTACGTGTTCATATTTTCATTAATCATTATTTACCATGTTATTTCATATTTCTCAATCACATAATACAAAAAAAAAAATGCTTGGCAGCACTAGAAATGGAGCACTAAAAGGAATATTAATGATGTGGCAGTAAGCCCCGCCTACTTTCTATGCCTTGTTTCTTTTTTTTTTTTTTTTTTTTTTTACCATTCCCAATGCATTAGTGCTATTAGTGATGTATTTTTTAGTGGTCTAAATCATTGTTAAATACAAAATCATAAATCTTATTTTCTCCACCAATTATAATACCCTTAAATATCACCAGGCCATACTTTAGGAAGACCTAACAACTTCTCATGATTTGGATACCCTTAATTTTATAATATGATACAAACAATTTAATGGTTCAGTTGTTCAACAAATAACTGAAAATTCCACATTACCATCACTACATAGAAAGGCTACAAAAACATAATGGGTACACTATTGTCCTTTTGTCATGATTAAAATTTTTCTTTATCCAAATCAAATTTAAGAGTGTAAAAATGGTTTGTGACCCGTGAGCAGTTCGAAACCCGTTCACGGTCTTGGGTGGCTTGGCCCGTTTACGCTCGGGCCCAAGCCCAACCTGAGGCCTTAGGCTTGGGCCTAGGCATCATTTTGAAGCTCGACTCGTGACCTAGCCCATTGACCTGCTCAAGGTCCACTCAAAACCCGGCCTGGTTGAGGCCCAATGTTATTTTTAATGAAAAATTATAAAATTTTGATGAAAAAAATAAAAAATAAATAAATAAATTGTTTAGGCTCGCCCAAAGTCCGAGCCCAGGCCTACTGGCCCAACCCGAGGCCCAACCCACCAGCCACCCAAAGCTTAAATATCCCTGGGCCTGGTCTTGGGCCTAATTTTCTGGTCCCTAGATACGACCCGACCCGACTTTTTACAGGAGCCCGCAAGGCCCGACATAGGCTGGGCCGAGCCAAAATTACGCCCCTAATCAAATATAAAATGACAGTGTCAGGTTGGATTGGTATTACATAATAATTTTTTTTTTTTGTGTCTATTCAAGCTTGGTCCGGCTCTAAGATCGGAACCTCTATATTTATGTGAGTCCAATCTAAAAAATAATTATAAATCTCAAGTCCACCTATTGAGCTATATGTTAGAAAAAAATTAAAACATTCTATAATTAAATTCAAGGGGTACTTACGCGTAGGTCCTAATAAGTGGACTTATTGTCTAATGGGTCCTATGGGAAAAATTTGTCATAAAAAAAGTCACTAATTGTAAGTTTTAGCAACAATTTATAAAAATTGTGACATAATTGTCAATTTTTAGCGACATATATAAAAAAATTGTCATAAAAAAATTATTTTTAGTAACAATTTTACCAAGACTTATTTTCAATAGGACTTGATGAGAATTAAGTCAAACTATTAGGACCTATTGGTAGTTTACCCCAAATTCAATCACATTATATTCCTTAAATAAATATATTGACATCATTATAAATTGAAAGACTTTGTGTATAAACTGAAGCATTTCTTAAATAAATTCAATCACACATCACCACAAATGTGAGTTTTTAATAAAATCAACAAAAATAAAGTTTAGATCCTAACAAAAAAAAAATAATGTATTATAAATTATTTATTTATTTATTTAATAGCGGGTCAGGTTGGGCTGGGTTGAAAGTATAAATTTCAAACCTAGTCCATTAATATTTCGGGCTAAAAATATTGGTCCAACCCGACCTCATGGGCAAAAATAGCCTTTCTAAGCCCTAGAAAAATAGAGCTAGGCAAGGCAGATTGTACTGGCCAAAGGGTCGATATCCACCCCTAAAATCAATGCCATAAATTTTGGGGAAAATGTTCTAGTATACAATGCGCACAATATATAATTTTAACACAAATTACGTAAATTTTTACAAATTTACATAAGTAATCTCATAAAAGTATGTAAGTTGAATATAAATTTACATAAATTCGTGAAAACTTACATGATTTTTTAAATTTATACAAGTTTATATTTAACTTATATAATTTTTTAGAATTATTTATATAAATTCATAAAAATTTATGTAATTTTATATTAAGAATACATACCGTAAACATTGCACGTGGAAAAAATTTCAAATAATAATCGTACTTTTTCAAGTTTGACAAACGGAAAGCTCACTTTGTGTTTGGCTACAATAATTGATGTATTCCTATCAGGAATATTATGTTTTAATCTATGCTTAAATTTATTGGCAATGCAACTCAAAAATCAGGCTTTTGATCCATATCCGCTATCTCGAGACATGAATTCAAGATTTTGTTTATAGTTCGATATTGGATTTATGAAAGAAAAGAAAAAGATGAGAAAAGAAAATAAATTAAAATGCTAAATTTAAGTATTTTTTGATTGGTTAGAAAAATGAGAAGAAGAAAAAAAAGAAAAGGTATTTCTAAAAAATATTCAGTGTGCTTGGTTTCAGTTTTTTGAAAATTGAGTTTTTTTGTTTTTCATTTTGTTTTAGTGAATATTTTTAAATTTTAAGCAATGTTTTTTTACTTTTTTAGACGTGCCTTACTTAGATGTATCTAAATAGTAAAATACTTATGAAAAAATATTTAAAAAAATTAATAAATACAAAAAAATACAAAAAAAATTTACTGAATTTTTATATTTTTTTGGTATTTAGTGTATTTTTTAAAGTTTTTATCACAAATATTATATTTTTTTAGTATATTTATGTTTGGTGTATCTGAAAATTTAAAAAAAAATTGCTTATAATGTTAAAAAAATTTATTGAAAACATTAAAATACGAAAAATAAAAAAGTAGAATTTTCTAAAAATTATTTTTTTGAAAACTAAAACCAAACAAGTTGTTTATTTTCTTGTTTGGTTATGGATAAAAAGATGAACATGTATGAGTCATTTCAATTTATTTATTTATTTATTTTCTTGGCAAATTCAAGATCTAATCATAAAAAATAAAAAAAAAATAAAAAAAAAAAGAAGAAGAAGAAGAAGAGACAGAGAGACTTCATCATGTAAGGATACATTGGATCTTGAATTGGCTAGTGGCACAGTTGCACTACAATATTTTTTTAGTTCAGTGACATTTGCAAGTGCTACAAAATTATTTTTTTAACGACATCTTTTAGTCTGACATTTTCAACAAGTGTTATTTATACACATGCCACAGTACATACTGGTGGCACTTCAGTGACATTTGCAAGTGCCACTACACCATGAAGGCCAAAAGCTTTCATTGACATTTCAATGTCATGTTAGACACTATTTGTGACACTACCAAACACCGTTAAACAAGACTTACAATCTAAAAAATGTCACTATGTACTTTTTTAATGGCACTTACGCCACAATTGATATTATTTATGGACAATTGAGTGCCATATTAGACATTACTTATGACACTTTTATACAGACGTCTGGTGACATTTCCAAGTGTCACTAGATTTTTCACAGGTGAAATTTACAAATGTCACCTTATCTTTTTTTTTTTTGGTACTCATATGCCACATTTAGTAGCGTTTGTAGCTGCCATTAAAAATTTTAAAATAAACAAAAACAATTAATTGCAATAAAAATTCCATTAATCATTCTCTTATAAAAGCTAAAAATTTATAATTTCATTTGTGTAATACGAATATAACATTCATAACACTTACAAAATACAATAAACAATATCTAACTCAAAAATATTTCAAACTGAAAATATTACAACTGCTTCCAATAATTCATCAGGATACAATATCTTCTATCTTCAATAAACACCAATCCCATTTGATTTATTTTTTTTATTATTTAAAAAAATGCTAAAAATGCTGATTTCTTCACATTGGCTTCAAGTTTTGCTACAAGGCTGTCTAAAGAGCTCAATGATTCATCATATCTCCCATCATGTAAACATATCCATTGGTGCTTCCATTCTTGTAATCGTAGTTTGTTAAATTCCTCTTGCAAGAGCTTCAAACCTATCAAGTTCATTAAAATATTTGTAAGTAATAGAAGACTAGAGCAATTGACTTGTTTATGTTAAATAAAAGTAAATAAATAATAATAATTGGAAATTGACCAAGT